TAGACAGAAGTGGACAAGAAATTCACAGCAATGGATGAAACAAGAAATCACAAAAGTCTATAAATTTCCAAGGTCCCAGTTTGTAACTGGCTTAATCATAACATCTGATTTACAATATGCTTGTTGGTTCTAATTACAATGTATTATTTGTCCCTCCAGGTGCTGCCGTCCCTCAGCAGTAGTGGCAGCAGGGATGTTGAGGAGACAGGAAGGTTGCCCAGAGCTGCCAGCCCCTCGTCTCTGTACTCCAGGATTGGTGCCTTCAGTACTGGATGGCTCTCCAACATAGGACAGGGCAACAAGTGAAGAGGTGAGGGATATAGTCTGGGGAATAGGAGCATTTTCCCTTGAAAACATTCCACTATCATAATTCTTGTCCACCCGTATGGTGTGGTATTTTGTATTGTAGCCTTTGGACATAAGCATTTTAAAGTAGACGTCTTGAGCACTATTACTCAGTTTACAACATTTGTGAGATTGTTTAGATATTAGGTTTTAAAGTTATACTTCACAGTATGTACCATAAGTTAGTTACCATTGTGCCACAATTTGTTTCTTTCTTTGATGATATCAGATATAATATTGATATTAGATTTAGACTATTTGTTCCATTATTTGTATTAATCCCAAAATGATTGTATTTTGGTGCCAACACTTTGATGAACAAAACGTGATGTGTATAGGAGCCCTTGTAAACTAACTAGGATGCCCCCAGGCTAGATGCTACCTATTTTGGGTGGAAAACTGTGAAAATGGATGCATGGCTGTCTACAATATCTAAATCAAGTCAGTATGGCCTATCACACTGCATGAATGTGTTTTTTTTTTCAACCAATTTGCTCCAGTGATTTCCTGCAAAATTAAAATGGTATTGCTTGGTAGGTACTTTCTAAAAGTTTCATTCCTGATGTAGATTTTTTTTTTTTTCACTATACCACTTAAATTCAAAGGCATACATGTGTCTGCTCATGTGTTCACAGTTGACTATGTGCCAAATCCTTCACCACAATCAATACGCCTTGTGGCACATTGGAATGGATGAATGAAGTGAATCAGTCTAATTGGGTGGGACTGAAGGGGAAGACATTTGTATCCCACTATGTAACAAGTAGATGGCATTTTATTTCAGCCTTATTTTTTTCCCTTATGTAAGCAGCCTTTAATTGGAATATCTTACTAATATCATGTTGACAAATTTTTGTGTTTGAGATGATTTAATGTACTATCAAAATGAAAATATAAACTAGCAAATAAATATGTATCTATAATTTGTTTTCTCAATCATTAGTATTGTACAGAAATGTACTTAATTACCAGGTCTGATTTTCTTAAAATGTGCCATAATGAAATCTCTAACAAAATTTTCCTACATCGTAGTACAGTGTACCTGTATATTTGAATACCAATATCCTCATTATGTGTCTTTCTGTAAAATATCAGCAATGAATACCGAATCCTTTGCCAGGGGAAATTGATTTTTCTAAAAAAAATGGGTGTGGCCCTATTATTATTGATTACATAATTAGGATATCATAAAAGTTTGCATCAATTGTTGTTTTTCAATACGGGAACGCCCCAGAGGTCCTCAGCCATCCTTTTGTGCAGCCATAACATGAGCCGTAGACGGCGTTGTGATTGGTCGAGTTCATTGGTGAGGCATGTTGATGTTGACAGAAAGGATGACTTCATCTCCCGGGAGACCTACTTTACTACATGTTTACCTGCCTTTGTGCTGCATAACTGCATCAGGTCTGAACTACTAGCTAGTGCTCAGCAAAACAATATACCCACATGCAAGGAAGGGGATTTATTGTTAGTAATTCACAGTTGTAGTTGGTTCAGGTTGGGTCTATATAAGACTGGAAAATCTGACATAAAGCAGCTTCAGCCTGCTGGGCTCCCTTTGTCTAATAAGTACATATTTAGGGTTACCCTTTGGGAAAATCTGGATTCAAATTTGAATATATGTATAGACAGACATCGCAGAGTAGACAGGAAATCATAAATTATTGAAATCGTAAATTGCTGTTTTTATATTAAAAATTGAAGATAATTTTTTTTGTCTCTGTTCAGAAATGTAAGTGGTATGATGTAGCTTGATTCCATGGCTCCTGCAGAATACCTGGATATGTCATGTTATTCTAGAGATGCAGAAGTTAGTGTGCTTATGATTATGCAAGCCTTGTTGTTATCTTCATGTAACATATTGGCTGTGTACGAATCTTCCATGTCCTGCCTTCAAGTAATTGAAATCAGTCACCTGCTCTGATTAGCTTATTATTGACAGAGCTGCCGCAACTGCATTTCTGGCATGTTCCAAGTCTCTTTCATCCTGATGTTCCTGGTACCTGTTTATGCCTCAGCAGCCCCATCCCTTCCCAGTACAGATGAGTTTTAGGATTTCTTTTATCCATCAGTCATGAGGCTTTGTAGAATATTCTAGCACTGCAAGTCTGCCCTTCACTTTGTAGCCTACACTTATGTCTATTGTGCTGTCCATAGACTATTCCCATTGGGCAAATCTGAGGGGAGTTGGGCTCCAGGCTCTCCATCCCGACTGACTCCATCCATTTTCTCCCACGGAGCCGTACCCAATAACTGTAACTGTGCTTTCCTCTGGCACCACTCCCACCACTCCTGGGCTGACCCATCAGACACCTCCACCGTGATGTGCATGCACAATACCTGAGCGCCAATTTACTGTCTAGAATGTTTACCTTATATGGTTAGATCACATGGTCTTCTGGGATGTGTAATGTCTATGTGTGTGTAAAACTCCCCCTCAGATATGGTGGCTTGAGATCCCTCCTGAATTCAGCCCTTTGCTTGTATCAATGCAGGATTTTCCATTGCACAATAAAACTCATTTCTGGAATGTCTGCCTTTATGAGTGTTTGTCACGGAAACAAAATTGCAACAGTTATGAGGGTTGTCAATATATTGATAGGTACAATGATTGTTTCCCAACATGCACCTGTGCAATAGCAATAAGATAGATAATTCTGAATGTGAAACCCAGACAAATAACAAATCTTAAAAATCTTGAATTTGTAACAAATTTGTAAAAAATTCCAAACCCTTGTCTTTATATGCAACTTTCAAATTGTTCCTGATCCCAATATGCAAATTTTTCTCACCTGCAAGAATCCTAGGTACCCTTTAAAAATTCTGAACATCGCCACAGTCATATCTTGATGGTATGCAATCATCTTTTTGCCCATGGATGCTATTCCTGCCCAAAAGCCCAATTACTTCATAGATTTTCGCTTCACTCCCCAGTTGCTCTGCTGACCTACTTTTTCCTTATAATGAGAAGCAAATTTCAAGGCCACATGAAATATGGATGCTACGCATAAGACTGTGCAACACTTTCTGACGGACGACCTTTCAATATCATATAAGATTTTGGCAATGAATCACCCATATCAGAATTTATGGACATTTGTTTTGTAGGTCAGACAAGAAGGACAAGGAAAGATGACTCCTCTTTCTTATCTTTATTAGGGTGGTCATTTCCTTGACATTGGTTTTATATTTTGCATGCAACTGCTTTCCCAGAGTTTTGTGTCCTATTTTGTATGCCACTGTCTCTGGAAATGGTTCATACCATTACTTTACACTTTAAGGAGTTGTACATCAAGAGTTTTTTTTTCAAACATCTAAGAGAAGATCCCTTATTTGCCAAATCAAATTAATTTTTCATCAAGGAATTTGTAAAATATTTCATGCCAGTATGAAATCTTTGCTTTCTTGTTGGTGAATTGCTCATGCCTGTTGACAAATCTGATGTTTTATCACACACTTATATTGCACTCAATTTCTTAACTACAAAATGTAATTACATGTAGATGATTTGGTACAACTTGGACCAATCAGATAATTTGGTACAACTCTACCATCTAGCAAATCATATCACTGTAAAAGTCACATACCAAAGACATTCAACACACTCATACACTGAAAGAGATATTCCTCTGTCAATCCATACATGTGACACTGACAAGTGGTGAAAATTGTAAGAAATGTTATTTTGTAACTGTGCCATGAATACAAGAAACAAATGTTAACCTATCCCAGCCTAATGTAGCAGTTGAAGTCCAGATGGGCACAGAGATAAGCCTGCGTCTTCTCCAGCTCATGATGGCTGGAAGGAAATGTTGGCAGTTGATTCTGCTTCCAGATATAACCTTGGGGATGATGTTCTTGGCTTTCCTCTCATCCCATGCTGTCAGAAGCCTCCCCCAAAAGCACCGTTAAGGGATGGTAATTTAAAAGTTAAAAAAAAAACAGAAGAACTCTGTCCCTGTCTTCATTCTTAGCTCTTGTATGCCATGTCAGCAGTCAAAGAATTGAATCAATAGATCTTGTTGATAAGAATGTTGACATAGCCTCCTGACTGAGTCATCCTATCAGAAAATCTTTAACTTGAGGGGAGAAAAGTTGTGTCTTCTGGAGTCTTACCATTGGATGGGGGTAGTTTGAATCATGTTAGTGTTGCTGCAGAACATGGTCAGAGAGAGAAATGTTAGTATGGAACTGATGTTCAAGTCGTCCTTAGCTAGAATTGAACTTGACAGGAGTACAGCTGTCAGTTGTACTTGATTCTGTAATGAGATTAATATCTGAATTTTCTCAACCCTCAATGTGAGTGTAATATACACATGTATTATGACTGACACGGCTTAGCCATATATGTACAGTTTTTACAAGTCTGCATGGAGAAGTTCTTGATACATGTACCTCTTTGAAAATAATGCTTTTGAAAATTGTTTATTTTTGTCACTGCATATGCAACAATGAAAACAAATATAACTCTACATGAACATCATTATCATACTTCTGAAAGCTTGTGCAAATTGCCAATAGATCAATAGACAGAGAATATGAATAGAAACTTCACCATGCAGACCCATCCGATATGGTAGCCAGGGCCTGTCCAAATTTTCAAATAGGTGGAATAACTTGAAAAAAGTGGTAAATACTTGAGACTTGCTGCATGTTTTCTATTCATAATTGATAGAAAATGTATTCTGAGCTTCACAAAATGTCCTTGCCTCAAGCACACTGCATATCAGACCCGGTTGTGGCTGGTTGTGGTGTTTAGGCATAGCCCATAAATGTGTATGTTGACAATGTGATGCTTTGAGATATGATTCAATGTCACCTTTTGCTTCAATCTACTACTATTAGAAATTCATCTTGGTGCAATGTGAACAATAATAATTATTTATAACTGACATTTTCATGCAAAAAGAGGTTTTGATGTATACTTTAAAACATTGTCAAGTTTATGTGTTCTGTTTCATTAAAATGTAATATTCTTATTGCAGTCTTACATCAGAAAAAATCACCAACTTTGACTAAATAGCACATGTACTATGGAATGTTTCTGACAAGACCTCATACACTTACCTTGCAGTTTATAGTAGCTGTGATTTTTGACTAGCTAATTTGAAACTGATGCCTTTCATTTTCAAGAATATCTGGTGACTTTAGTCATAATAGACATGTCTCACAGTCCTGTATGAAACATGACATTTTCTTTGAATAACCTAGGCACATAAACTGAGTGAACCTGTACACCAGGACTGGTGTCTGTAGTTGTATTGCCAACGTTCTCCTCCGACTGTTATTGGAAAGACTTGAAACGATTATTCATGAGCTTCATCTCTAGATAGGGCTTCAAGGTTAGGGATGAAACATGCCCTACTCTCATGGACAGTACAGGTAAAGGAACCATTCATGGACCGGCTTTTCTGAAGCAGAAGTAATCCTGTTGACATGAATTTCTGTCCTACATAAAATAGTAAGGATCAGTTTTACCATGTGATTTACAGACCTCTCTTTCAGCTGAAGATGCTATAATGGCTATTTCCCACAGTGTAGAATAGAAAGTGCTCCTTATAGGCAATTAGTTCTCTTACCGGTATTCTGAAAATGTTACTGCCAACTCACCTTGGGGTGGCACTGTCTACTGAAAAACAATTCATTGCTATAAATGTTCATGTGCAATGAAATACTAATAGTATGTGATATTACATGAGCACACAATGCTGCTACCCCTACAATGGGTCCATTTTTGTATGTGTTTGCAAAGGGAACACTATTTGTAACAGAAATAAAGTGTGTGGCAAAGACGTATTGAGGGGAAGGGTTTTTTACTGAGTGCAGTGACTAAATACAGTCATTGTATTACGTACAATGTAAAGGGGCTTGCTATGCTAGTTTGATAGGGCATTGTTCCGTTTGAGAGCTGTTGTATAATCATCTCCTGACTGGTGCAGCCCATTCACAGCATATACGATTCCAAATAAGTTATATAAGGCCGCAGAAATTTAATTTCTTAGGTCTCGGATTTGCAGCTTCAATTTTTCTTTTGATTTCCAGTCGAAAGAAAGGCATTCTAGGTTTGAATCAGCCCCAAAATGCTCATATTTTTGCTTAGACAGTTAAAGAAAGTCTTCTTAATTGTTACAGCTTTTTCATTTATCAGTGCATCAAAATTCACAGTTAATAGCCTGCTCCATTAATTTGCTGAATTTGAGACTAAGAAATTAAATTGGTGTGGTGTTATGTCAGCTAAAATATTCATACAAACAAGGTAAGCACTATAGTTGCCGTGATGAACCTTGCATTGGCTGTAAACAGAGACATGTAAGATAAAACAGACTTATTTATAACCTGAATGCCAAAAACATGGTCATGATCTAAGGTTACCCAGATTGAACCAGACATGAACTGTTCCCAGTACGTGCTTACAACAGAGAACTTCAGTTATTCTTGGATTGGAGGAGTATTTTGGGCATGACATGCATATATATGGCTTCCTTTTACTGCAGCTATGTTATATTGGTCAGGAGTTACATGCTTGTTGGAGTGAAATTTTTGAACCCATTTTTAATGAGAGTGATGGAAACTTTGATGGTTAATCCATATAGCAGTTGTGGTTGAAAATGTTGCTACCAGTCATGTCTTCTCATGAAAAAATACCTTGTTTTGTTACTGATAACAAGTATCCGCCTTCTGGGACAAAGTCATGTACACTATACATTTACTGTCGTATGTGTTCTTTGTCTGAGAATGAATGGATCAATTTTGTATTCAATGCAAATGCCACCTAGGTATGGATTGGGGAATGCAAGGGATTCTTTCTTCAAACATGAAGTACTGGTACCTAAATTGTGTCAAATGGTCTTGTCTGATTTCATGCAGCAGTGAATCCCTTCTAGGATGTTCCAGAGGTTCAACTATGGGTATTGATTTTCTGTGTGCAGAGATTGAGCATTTGTCTGGACTTTTTTTTGCTTACAATTGTGCCTTGAATATGCACTTGATCATATGAGTCATACTGTTGAGCTTTGCTTTTTACAAAAAGAAATTGAACATTGAGTTTCTTGATTTAGTCTTTTTTGTTTTTGTTAAGAATTTTTCTTCAAATTTTTTATCAAGAATTTTTGCTGATTCTGTATTTATACACTGTAGATTTTACCCACTGAATTGAAGCAGGGAATTGAAGGCAGGAAATGAACAGACCTTTCTGGAACCTTTGATGGAACTTCCTGTTTGTGTTCCATGGCTGGCATGTGGAAATAACTACAGAAACACTGCAAAAATAAAACCTCCATACACAGAGGCAATGAGTCAAAGGCTATTCATACAAGTGCTTTCATAACCATAGTATGCAACTAATGTTACTTTGTATGTGTGGGAAAGTCTTATATAAAGTGTTGCAAAACATGTACGTCTGTCTTTCATTTTTCTTAGATGAACTACTGGTTAGGTAGCCATGTAGCCACTTATACCAAACACATTCAGCCCCTCCACTCCAGACCTGAGAAGTGGGACAGGTGAACTCTTAAGGCCCCACACCTGGCCACACCTCAGTAACAACCACCTCTTAGTATAACGTGTACAGATGGAGTCCATTCAAGGTCTATTTCACTTTCGTCTCTTGAAAGTCAAAAGGCTTGGCACTTGTTTGTTGTCCTGACCTTCATAATGTATGATCAGTCAAGATCAAACTACAATGGTTTGTGCATACCATTACTAACTACAATGTTCTGCTCTCAAAGGGTGTAGAAATTCTCTTTATAAAGATATACATGGTTACCAGAATGAGTGGAAATGCTGTTAGTAAATGTTACCCAATTGCTGACACAATGTTGAAGTTAAGTCCTGTGTTTTGTGTGCAGGTATCCACCAGAGTTGAGTTGGCATCAGGTGCAGGCCGACTGCAGCTGCTCATCCACATGACATGAACATCTGCGATCTGATCACATGATGCAGGCGTTTCATCCTGTTCCTTGTGCAAGTTGGTAGTCTCTGTTCCATGTCAGCTCAGTTTACTATGTACCCTTTCCTCTCAGTGTTGCAGGCCAGAATATACCCCTGGTCAAAATATACCTGGGTATATTCTGCCCTGCTACACAGGCATTACCAGTTAAGCAAAGTACAGGTCAGTTCCCTTGAACAAAATGTATCTAAACATGACTAAATGATAAAAGAGGATGGATAATGTGTACATTTCTGTAATACATTGTACTAGTACCTATAGATTTGGTCACTGTGTTATTTATTGCTGCACTTGCAAGAAAAATGGAATGTGCAGTCACTCAGGAATACCGGTACACAAGTACCTGTGTGCACAATGTGAACAGGTATTTGTGTATTCCTGAGTTCACTGAAAGTTTAGATCAAACGTTCTGAATATGACGGTAAAATCTGCACCTCCAGGGACTTTAAGGAATAAAAACTACCATGTCATATTCTCTGTATTTGGGCAGTTGTTACGTAGATCCTAGAGGAGAAGCCAATATTTTACAATCTGCACCGTGCAGTGTTATATTAGTGCTAGAGTTGTTACGAAACAGTATCTCTCGTACTACTGACATGTCATAAAAGATGGACCATACAGAAGGTATGGTTCACTTTTAACTTAAGTTTTTGTTAGCCATAAAATGGTGACTGTACCTAAGTGCGTCTATTCTAAGACATGGTTATATTGTAATGCATTTCGATGAAATCTTAATGAGATTTTGGGTGTTCCATATAGGCTGGTGGAGGCATCAAAGCATGCTAATAAAATCTGCAATTCTTACATATTTATTTGCCGTGTGGTATTCAAAGCCTTTCAGTTTGTTTAAGACTTGTGCTGGAAAAGTGGAAATATTCCGAAAGAACACTTACATTGTAATATGTTTCCACCATTATGTACAATTTGCAGTGTGTTTATTTTGCCAAGCAGAGATAACTTACACCGGGTGGATCAACCATCATCACTGTAATTTTGCCCAACTCCCTGGCAGTTCATTTCACATTACAGAAGAATAATGACTAGCAGGAAAGATGAGACAATAAATTCATGCATTGGTCAAATAACGGCCTCAGAGACATGTTGCAGACTCTGGAGGATGCCTTAAATTGGAAAGCTTCGTTAACTCTTCAGAAGATGCAACAGCACACTCGGCATGGGTACCCCCAGTATTTCAGAGGTTCTTATTATAGACTTGGAAACATAATGACACACTTGTGTTTTTATGATATTGAATCTTTATGTACTTTGGGATACAACTTATATGTATTGAAGAAATCAGAGAGAATTTTGGTACTTTTTGCACACGGCATGGATTTTGTCAGCATCTATAACCCTGTACTCAGCCCTTGCACTATGCAGATGAGACTGATGTACTGTTGGCCAGGTCTAGCTGATGGGTGGAACATCATGATGGAAACCACCAGAGCTTTGCCTGCCTGTCAGTCTTGAAATTGTTCCTGTTCATCACAGCCCTGGCCAAATAAGTATGGATGACTTCACTTCATCCTAGTACGACATCGCCAACATGAGAAGTTTTTAAACGCATATATATATGGTGTTTTCAATACATACTACATGACCTAACATTAGCACCACAACAGTGGTGTTTGAACATCATGGTAGGAGAACCCATCTAGACCCCATATTGGCCAGGATCCAGAAATGCATTAACAACCAGATACAGTTTATATCGTACGTGTGCCTTGATTCTTACAAGAAGGCAGTTTATCAAGAAAACCCATGTAGACCACTTTAAATAAACCCATTTTTAGCGGGACTTTGGCAACAGCTTCTCCACGTGATTAAGAATTGTTGCTCATTGCTATAATCTCCTTGGTGCAAGGAACAGTATTCATTCATCTTGCAGTGTGTTTATTTTCCAAAGTCTAGGATAGACATGTATGTCCTAGACATTAAAAGTTATGCAAATTGAGGTGGTAGATCTACAGGGAACATAGTTCTCACCAGGCTGTTTGAGCGTAGGGGCCCCCTACGCTGTGATTTTGACCCCCTACGCTGTGATTTAGCCCCCTACACTGTGTTTCAACCAGCGTAGGGGTGGTTTTGGGGGGCAGAAGCTTCATTAATCTTTAAAAAAAATGAAAATATAACTTAAGAATGAAGCTATAACAAAGGGAGAACAAAATCTGTCCCCCAATAAACAATAATTAGTGTCCAAGTGGTTAATATGAGTTACAAAATTTTTTTGGGAGAATATCAGACCCATGTTTTTGGGACTCGGTGCGCGACTAGCGCCGCAGAAAGTTGCCCTTCTATACCTGACCCCTACGCTGTGAAAAAATCCTGGTGAGAACCCTGGGGAATAGTGTCAGGTTAACCTTTCAGTCCTTTGCTGTCAATAGACAGATTTTCCAGATTTATTTATTACTTTTAAAATACAAATATAATTTTAATAAGTAATGACCTGACAACATTTATACCAAACATAAACATTGATTTAAGTTATACATAGAAGAAAGTGGACTATAGAGAAACAACTTGGTGTACTCATGATTGGTACATAAATTTACATGAAATGACTGCTGTACACTTCACTATAAAGCACCTGTTAGCAGCCTGTAAATGCCAGCTGCCAGTTACTCCCAAGTGAAAGATGCTGTAGCTTTAAAGTTGAAGGTAGAGAAGTCTCTAGGGATGGTTTGATGTTCTGAGTGATGAAGCTATATTCCAGAACTCAATTTATACTAGTCATAGTACTGCAGTCATGATTTGTTCCCAAAGAATGTATGATGCTCTTTAAACCTTGGTAAAAGCTTTACTTCTAAACTTCTCCTGAACTTCGCTTGAAACTCTGCCATCTCTCTGAATATCAACTGTAGCTTCCCTAACTTCTCCATGCCAGCCATCTCTCACCATGTATTGATTGCCAAATTACTGTAGGGACTGGAGTTTTGTGGTTGAAATTCAGCATGCCAGGCCCATCAGTATTCTACCCACATATACATGGTGCCCATGTTCTCCCATACATGGCAGGGGTGAGTTTAAAAATAGCACACATCTCTTGTAACTGACTACTTGTTATCAATATCCCTAAGGATGTGTTGGCTGTGTGACTTAAAACTAACTTAGAAGCACTGGGATCCCTTGTCTTCAGCATTTGTATTCACTCTTGCTGACTGTTGACTGGGGAAACTGAAGGTGAAATAGAGTTTCAGGTTTTGATGGTTTGACAGTAAGACAAATATGGGGTAGAAGGGAGAACTCCTCTCTATTACTCACTGCTGTCTTACCTGAACCACTGCGACAGAGAGAAAATTCTCTGCAGACTGGGGTAGCTCATTACCCCAGGAGGTATTTTCTTTGTGCTTATGAATGTATGTGGACAAGGGTTTGACCTAATTGCTGTGTTTGGATTGCGACATTTGGCATATAGATATTGTGATCCTGAAGAATATACACATGATTTGTATTTGTGGGCCACGTTAACGCGTTGTGGGTTTCCTTTAGTTTAGCTTTGATGGTTGAAGACAAAGATCTGAAGACATATGTATACCATTTAGTATTCTTCCCATCATGCTCAACAGTCCTGTTTCCATTCATGCATGCCTCCAGGGAAGCACATGGCTGTCAGATCACTGTTTTGTGATTCTGTCAAATGTAACATTGGCACCTGCATCTCCAACATTAGACTCTGTTTTGGATTTCAGAACTTTCTTAACTCCGTATCAATTTGATGCACCTGTGTCTAGGGAATAAAGGTTGGCTCTTTAAAAGTTTAAACAAGTGAAGACAAGTAGAAACAATAGTTTTGTTGTGAAAACACTTTCAATTGGTCTGATGGAGCAGCACACAAACTTGACCTTCACATGTCAGTTGATTTGAGTTAAGCCCCAGGGTGATAAGATAGCAGTCTGGTCATGTTTCAGTCAAGTTCTTAAAGCTATGTTGATATATAGACTACTTCAAAATCTTCTATATGTTCACATTTTGTCACCTAAATATGAAGGAGGAAGAAACAGCTTATAAAACTCTGCTCCAATCACCCATATATGATTGTTGTCCTGGAGTAGAGGAACAAGAAAAATCAACAACAGCTGCTGCTGCAGCAGTATGGAACAATTAAACTGTTCTCCAACTGAAAAAAAAAAAAAAAACATGGACTCGCAGAGTACATCAGTCACCACAGTTGTGCTTTGCACTGTAATGGCTTGTAATGAGACTTTGTTGTTTGTCTACCTTCACACCTGCACCAACACCTGTCTCTAATCTGAAGGTTGTGCCTGCAGGTGTCTGACCACCAACAAACAATTAAAGCTTACTGTTGTTGTTCTATTTGAAGAGTTGCTTGGGCTCAAAACCTTCTTAATTTCTTGCTCAGTTCTTCAGACAGATTGAAATTGTTTCCTCAAGGCTTTATATGTACTATGTACTTGCACTAGGGCTATTCCAATTCACTTGCTGCATCCTCTGACATTTTATGCAGGCTGTGCAGGTAAAAATATAACGAGGTCAAGATGAAAACAAAGGGATGGGAGGAAATATTTTGTCTGACTACATTCACTCCCTGTGTTTTTGTGAAACTGTGTTTTTGTTATCCAGTTGATCATCCAGATAAGCATTATGTTTTGAAATCCAAGAATGGATTGTCACCTAAAATATCCTTATTTTGATGCCTCAGACATTCTTCCCCCATTCAACTTGAAAATAACATTTCCAATAGCATTTTAAATAAAAGAGCTCAGTTACAATGATACATGTGTACAAGAATGTGAGCCAAGCAGTCCTTGCCCATTTTGTCAGTTTTGTCATCATTGTATCAATAGCATTGAGCATCAAGCTGATCTATATGAATGCATGTGTTTGTATCTCCCTGTAAGAAGTGGTACTTAAGCTTTACTGGGTACTACCTTTGTTCAGGCAAAAATGTCAAACGTGCAATGTAGATCTATGTAACCACCTTTCAATGACATGATTTGCTGTAATGTCTGGACAGATGGGAAGAGGGGAAATTGTCTCCTAGCTGGATCATAGAACACAGCAAGAAGCTGTCTCTCGTATTCCAAGATAAGATGCTCGATTCATTTTACCCTTTCCTATCTAACAGAAGGATTGGAATATTTGCATGCTTTGGACAACCCCAGAGGGGATTCTCAAGAGGATGGAGGGCTTGATGGAACACTGGAAGGGATATAACAACTCGTACCAACCATGCCATATTCATACTGCTGCAGTTCCTCTGAGCACAGAAAGGGGGGAAAATCAGGCAGTAATTAACCCTAAACTAAGAAGGTTTGGATATTGGAGAGACATCCCAAGGACATTATTTTTGAATATTCATTAGCCAGGTACACAAAACTGCAGAACACAATCTACCATTTCAACTATATACGGGTAAGTATACTGGATTCTACATCACATTGTTGATGCTGAAGGCAAGTGTTTTTGTTGCAATCTTTTCTGTAAATATGTCATTGACTTCTTGGTGGTGCCAGGAAGTTTGAGTCAGAAAATTGGTGAAAAAAATTGAAAAGATATAAGCGTTATTCCTGTTTACCTTCCTTTTGTATGATCTTATTGGTGGAATATTTATGAACTGTACTAGAAGCATATTGGTAAAGACCCTGGTTTATATCCTAAGGTAACAATGCCTTTATATCTACGCTCCCCAAGATGTCACTTACCCAAGATGTCATGCAGATTGACAGTCACATGAGTGGATCCCCACATTGTATTAAGTGCACCTCTATACCGTACTTGGTACATAGTTTGCACCTGTATTTTTTCTCAGTAGTGACTTGCAGCTTTTTATATAGTGGGGAAGT